GTAAATCTGAATCTGGCATCTCTGAATAATGCCCAGGTTGATTAGAACAAAAAGAATCTGATTCTAGCTCCATCTGGAACTACAAGGAAGATCCATATATAGACAGATTCCACCTCACCAGCCTTCCATGCCCCCTTCCCCGGTTTGCTTTCCCCCATGTCACTTGTCCCTGTCATCTAATTTACTAGGTACTTGCTTTATTTGCTCACCCCTGCCCCCACCATCCTCTCCAGGAGAATGGGGTGAGGGCACCTTGAGGGCAAGAATTTTACCTGTTTTCTTCCCTGCTTCAACACTGCTTGGTACAGAATAGGTACTCAACGCGTACATGTTGGGGCTTCCCAGGTGGCTCAGTGGTAAGAATCCACCTGCCAATCCAGGAGACACAAGAGACACGAGTTCAATCCCTGGGTCAGGAAGATCCCCTCGAGGAGGAAATGGCAACCCACTGCAGTATTCTTACCTAGACAACCCCATGGACAGAGGAGCCTGATGGGCTACAGTCCATGGGGTCACAAAGAGTTAGACAAGACTAAGCGACTAAGCATGCACGTGTACATGCTGAGTGAATGGATGAATAACTGAATGACAGAATGAATGCACACGTGTTCTTCCTCCCTTTGCCAGGAAGACATGGAGGTGAGTCTCCACTCTTCCCACTACTTGGAAACTCCCCTCAGTCCACAGTTGGAATACCCTCCAGTGCCCCTCACACCTCGCCTCCCTCTAAATGAGATTTCTGTTTGTGTCTTATCCATCTGTGGATACACCCCTGTCCTACAAATGTCCCTCCAGGGCCAAGGCAGTTTCTGGTCACAGATGTAAAACAAGTTAGGATTCCATGGATCAGAAAACTCACATAAACTGATCCACCAGTGGCCTGGGGTTCCTGGCCCCTGTAGGCTGAGTTCTCAGGGGACAAGAACCTGAGGCTGAGATCTGTGGTGGTGTTGGGGACACTCACAGTCCATGGGCAACTGCTGACTGCGGACAGACAGAAGGAAGCAGTAGAGGCCCTGAGGGCTGGAGGGTAGGGGGAGCAGAGACAGCACTGGGCCAGGAAGCAGGATCCAGTCTCCCAGGCCAGTTCCACAGTCTCCAGCCTGGTGAGACAGACTCCGTGAACTGCAGAGACATTTCTGGAGCTGTTGTGAGACCAGGACGAGAACCACCAGGAAGGGGAGCAAGAGAGTGGTCGGCGGCACTGGCCACTCTTGAACCTTCCATCCACTTCCTAGCTGTAACACCCGACCTCCACCTGTCTTCATTATCTCAGGGTTGACAGGTGGTTAATGAGTTATTATTATTATTCAATGTAAAAGAATGCAAGATCGTAACTGGATGCCAAGGCAGGGGGAAAAGAAAAGCACATGTGGTGCAAAGGTACAGTCTTATTATAATCCTCCTGCTCCCTAGTATTCTCCCCTATCCTGGCTCCCACACACTTCTAGGTGGGGGCACATGGTATGTGGCTTGGGTGTGTCTGGGCTGCTGGGCCTGGACTCCTCCCTGAAGCCACAATCTCTTAATGACTGAGTTAAGATCCATAGGTGATCTCCACCTTAAAAATGTTCTAAGAGACATGGGGCAGTTCAAATGCCAACTCTACCACTTAGCTGTGTGACCTTTGCCAAGTTAGTCACCTTCTCTGTGCTTCATTTTCCTCCTCCATAATGACAGGTAGCACCAATGTCATATGGTGATGCATTACTGAACATATCCATGTCCCCAGAACAAACCCATGCTTGCAGCCTCTCTGCCTTTGCCTTCACCAGTAAAGTCCTCTTCCTACCTCACCTCTGCCTGCTGGAACCCTCCGTAAGGCATCACCTCCACCAAGTTTTTCTGAGTCTGTCTGTTACATGTGCCTCTCCTTCCTTTCAACCTCCCAACATACTACATCTTTCTATGATGTTGGCATAGTAGAGTGCATGAGTGATGCACATATTTTTATTTCCAGTTTCCTTCTCAACAGCAAGCTTTGGAGTCGACCTGAGTTTGACTCCAGCTTTGCCCACTTAATAGCTGTGTGATCTCAGCCCAAGTTCCTTAAACTCTCTGATCCTCCATTTCCCCATCTGTAAAAAGAACATGATAAAACACCTACCCCACAGAGTTTGTAGTGAGAATTAAAGAAGATAATGCATATAAAATATTTAACACAGTGCAGACCATATTATATGTGCCAGGAAATATTCTTATACTTATCTTCATTATTAGCACTACGTAGGATTTGATTCTGAAAGGCCACTGGTCTTTCCCTCTCCAATTCAGACCAATGCAAATCTTGGGGTGAGTTAATTGTAACACCAGGGAGGAGCAACTGGTTAATTCCCACTGAAGATCTGGCTGTGCTTTTGACAACAAGACTTTCTGTGCCCCATGCAAAAGGAGGGGAGAGAAGAGCAAAGAGCTGAAGCCAGGGGGAGTTCCCAAGGTGACTTGTGCCTACTTCTTGGTCTTGACCATGCTCCCAAGCAAATGGGAGCATAACATGAAAGATGGCTCCCACGAGCCCAGGGCTTTGCCTGGGCTGGAAACTTTCCACGTGTTCTTTTTGGACTTCATAACAAACTTGCAATATAATTCCTCTCCCTCTTTAGGAGAAGATTGTCACTCTTCAGGTGACAATTCTGACCTCCAAGAACATAAGTGACTTTCCCAAGGTCACACACAAGCTGTGGCAACATGGCCCAGATCCAAAGCCAGGTCTCTCTTACTCCAGGGCTCACGGAAGGAGGAGCAGGGCAGGTGGAAGAAGGGGAGAGAATGTTCATCCACCAAGAGTACACACCCCCATGATAGGGCAGGAAAAGCAATCTGTAGAAATGTATGGTTTTATTTACGGAAAATTAATTCAGCATACAACTTCATCATAATACCATTTCTCGAAACATTAACTCCCATCAATGTTGTAAAAGTCTGGGAAACTGCAAAATGTATTTTCTTTAAAACTGCCTATTATCTATAAACATCCACTTTTCAGGCCAACCAAGATGTCCCCCCTCCCCTTGATCTGTTGATTTTAAATCTAGAAAGGTCAGGGGTGGCCCACGTGTTCCTGTGGTTTGAAAAAGGTTCTCAGCAGCCTTCAAGCCCAGGGGAAAGCAATACTCACTTTAATTGCTCTGTGAATTAGAGCCTCCCCTTTTGGTTTAAATCCACACCACAATTGTATTTTTAATATTTTCTCCAATCCTAGAAACAGTAGCAAAGCATCTTCTTTCCTTTCTCTTGACCGACATCGCCCTCTAGTGGTTACAACTCTGAAGAATGGAGACTAACCCCACCGGAGACACCAGGGTGCTCCCCAGACCCCTTCACTCCCTCACCCACCCACCCAGCCAGCTATCCCTATGGCTACTCATTTGGGCATCATTGCTTGAGAACCTACTCTGCACCAGGTGCAAGCAACAAAGATTCTAGCTGCTTAGTGATTTGTTTGCTAATGTGGAACTTGAAGGTCTTGAAGAAACAGGCCAGATCTAGGATCCAGAAACCAGGGTTGCAATGCCAGCTCTGCCCCTTAAAGCCTGACTGACCTTACGGGTGGAGATCAGTTCCCTGCTGGACTTATTTCTTCCCCATGCGGGTAGTAGAACCAACCTGCCCATCCTCAGAACAGCATTACATGCATGCACCTCGTTAGTCTTTAATTTTCATGACCACCTTACCCTCTGCTCCTGCAGCAAACAGGTTTTCACTACAAATGAAAGGCGAGGGAGCTAATGGGTAAGCCCAGACCATAGCTTCAGAAGCCCTGGGTTCAAATCCTAGTTCTGCCAGTTACTTACCTTGTTACTTTAGATAAACTTTTAGATAAGCTTTAGATAAAACCTTTCTCAGTGCCCATTTCTCTTGTCTGTAAAGTGGGCATAAGCATAGGGTTCAAAAAGATAATTTACATTTTTAAACTTTAGCATGAGCAAAATCCCCTGGGAATTTTGTTATCAGAACAACCGTTTCTCAAACTTATTGGCTTCTGGATTTCTGAAAATGGCCCAGGCATTTGCGCAGTAACCAAGCCACCCAGGTGACTCCAGTGTACAACAGTCTTTGACAACATACAGATTACAGCTGGACCCCTGGTTGTCAAGCTTTGCCTCACACTGGAATCTTTAAAAATACCTCCCTGTCTAGATTCTGATAGGATGGATGCAGGGGAGAGCCTGGCACTTAGATCAGTAGGAATTCCTAGAGGGATTCTCATTTGTAGCCAAGGCTGAAAACCACTGTCTGAGCCCTGTGCCTGAAACAGCTGCAGCTGCTATATAGTTGCTAATTCGTGTCCAACTCTTTTGCAACTGCATAGACTGCAGCCCACCAGGCTCCTCTGTCCAAGAGATTTCCAAGGCAAGAATACTGGAATTGGTTGCCATTTCTTTCTCCAGGGGATCTTCCCGACCCAGGGATCGAACCTACATCTCCTGCTTGGAAGGCAGATTCTTTACCACTGAGCCACCTGGCTTCCCATCTGTTACAGAGAAAGTCCTAACACACGTTAAAAGAAGCCCTAACACATCCATATCACGACTTAAACACAGCCTTTATTCAACAACAACATATCATGAGCCTCTACCAGGCACCAGGCACTGGCAAAAGAACGGCCATCCAACCAAAACAGAGACAAAACTCTGCCCTCAGGGAGGTCACAATAATGCTGGGGCCGACTTGTCATTCTGTACAGGGCCCCCAAGATTATAGAGCCCACCCAGGGCGTGGAGGTTGCATATCACACAATGCCTTGTGGGTCAAAGTAACTTTTTCTCTTTAAGGTGGAACTATTCAGACATCCCACAGTTGTCTCTCTCGGTAAAGAAGAGATTTCAAGATGCCATTTTACCTTTTTAAAAGTGTCAGCCGCTCAGTCATGTCTGACTCTTTGCAACCCCATGAATTGTAGCTTGCCAGGCTCCTCTGTCCATGGAATTCTCCAGGCAAGGATACTGAAGTGGGTAGCCATTCCCTTCTCCAAGGGATCTTCCCGACCCAGGGATCAAACCTGGGTCTCCTACAATGCAGGCAGATTCTTCACAGTCTGAGCCACCAGGGAAGCCCCAGAGAAGAGATTTCAAGATGCCATTTCACCTTCAAAAACAGGACCATCCAATGGCAAGATATCCATCGGGGGACCTGGGTGGGGGAGACACATTTGGTGCAGTGAGGCCCGCTCTGACTCACCGTGCCCATGTGTGTCTGTTCCCCTTTGAGAAGGGCTGAGAAGGAGATGCATGACTACCGGTTGGAGTGGCCTCTGCCACTGCTGCTCGCAGTCCGGCAGCCAACACCACCTTCCTCCCAGCAGACTCAGCCGGTCAGATGTTTCCAGCTGTCCAGGCAAATGGGAATACTTACTCTTAATTAGGATTTCAGCTTTGCACCTGCTCCCCTTGGCAGAGGCTGAGCCTACTTCAGAGGCCAAGGGTGGAGGGAAAACCCTCTTTCAATCACTGTAGTTAGCCACTCAGCCAACCCCCAGCTGCTCGTTAGCACCCATGAGTGAGGCCAGGGAAGCCCCGTGAAATCTTGTTAAATCACTGAGAGCGTGGGGGAGGGACTGTGGAGAGGCCTCTCTCAGCCTTCCTACTAAAATAACTGCCTCCCTGGCTCTCCTCTCTCTGCGTTATTTTTATTCACAGTGCCTATCATAAGCTGACACTTTATGTTTGTTTATCTCTAGTAGTCTGCCCCTCCCACTAGAATGTAGATTCTGTGTTCATCACCAGTGTTGTCCACAGCACCAAATGGTGTATAACACCTAGAAGTAGATTTGTTGAATAATTGTTGAATGAATGAATGGGTCAATGAATGACTTGTTTTTAGTTGACTCCAGTTAATACCAACCTGGTTGTTATTAAATGCTCCAGCAAGGAGAATAGGAGGCTGGCGGAGAACTGACAACAGCAGGTCTGGGTAAACAAGACAGGAAAGTATGTTTCCCTTGTGAAGAGGGAGGATTCATTCCTTAAGTTTGCAGGGTTTTTTCACTGGAAAGAGGAGGGGGAAGAGATGGGATCACAAACAGGAAGCCCAAGTACAGCCATCAGACATGTCCTGTTGGACCTGCAGCTTTTTTGTTTTGCCGGTTGGTTTTTGCTTTTCTGCAAATAGCATGTTTCCACATCAAAAACCCAGCCTTCCTGGAAAAGCCTCCTGGCAGCGAAGGAGCCCTATTCCTGCAGGGGAACAGCAGCCTGTTGCTGCGGGGCCACTGCCTCTTTACCCAAGCAGGACTCTCCAGGACCCCCCTCTTGCGGGCTGCCTCCTCCTCACATTCCCTCCTTAGCCCGGGCTCTGCATGACTGGCCTTTCCTGCCTCTGCCCTGCTGCTTTGCTCTTGGTCTGAGCTAGGGACTTCCATGCCCACTCCCAGTGACTGGCCCCAGAATGTACTGGGCAGCGGACTCCACCTGACTCTCTGCCCTCCCGTGGCTGCCAAGCACTCCCGTGGCTGCCAAGCACTGTGCAGTCTCCCAAACCTGTCCACAGAGCCACAACCCTGAGCGGCCAAGGTCACCTGAGGGACACTCAGCATCACTCCCGTGTAACCACAGGGCCAACCAAGGTGGGTTTAGTCTTTCTCCTTCCCTCATGTGGGAATTCGGCCACCAGGATGATTTCATTCAGGTCACCTTCTCCAGCTCAGAAAAATCAGTTCCCTCCTTTTTGCTTAGTCTGGTAGACATGAACCCCTGCCTTCATGATCTCTGGTCCTCCTTGCCCTTTTATCCCCTACTTAAGTATTTCTCATCCAATCTCATTCCTTTTCATTTCTCTCTGCACCCTCAATCATCCAGCTCTGCAAATCAACTCAGCTATCTCTGGCACACAGCCTGTTCCTCCTTGTTATTAACAAGGTTGAGAAGAGTGGATAATAAATGAGACCTTGCTTTCAAAGAGCTTTCACACCACCAACTCAGAGCCTCCCAAGAACCATACAGGTAGATACTGACAGGTGGAGTTTAACTTTGTCTACCACCAGCAGCTAGATATCAGTGGAGTCAAGTCGGGAAACTATTTTAAGTGCCATTATTTATGTCCTATCAGGAAATTACCATTTTAAAAAATAAGTGAGAGGAAGAGACAGTCCAGATTTTAAAATATGACTTTATTACATGTCAAGGGCAAGATTTATTCCCCCTCCTTAGTATTGTAATTAAAGTAGATGGAATAAGATTTGGTATTATATTTGCCTTTCAAACAACCTTTCAGAAACACCTGCATTGCTCTGCAAAAGGAAAACCATTTGCTTATTTATTCACTGCATTAAACAACCACTCATCCACTCAATCAACAATTGTGTTGTACTCTTACTATGTGCCAGGTCCTGGGCTCGACCCAAGACAAACATTGGTGAGCAAAACAGGCTGGCCCTGCCCTCAGCACTTAGAGTTTGGTGGTAAAGTGACGCATTAAACCAAGATCACACCAAGAATGTATAATCAGAAAGAACCACCATATGACTCAGCAATTCCACTCCTAGGTATATATTTGAAAAAAATGAAAACACTGATTCAAAAACGTATGTGCACCTCACTGGTCATAGCAGCACTATTTACAATAGCCAAGACATGGAAGCAATCTGTGTCCATCCACAGGTGAATGGATAAAGAAAATGTGGTATATATACATATATATATATATATGCACATACATACAATAGACTGTTGCTCATCCGTAAAAAAAGAATGAAACTCTACCACTTGGAACAACATGGATGAACCTGGAGAGTTAAATGCTTAGTGAAGTAAATCTAACAAATACAGTATGATATCACTTATGTGTGGAATCTAAAAAACAAAACATGAATATAATAAAACAAAGACAGACTCATAGCTACAGAAAACAAACTGAAGGTTACCAGTGAGGAGGGATTGGGGGGAGGAGCAAGATAGGGGAACGGGATTAAGAGGGCCAAACTACTAGATATAAAATAAGATACAAGAATGCAATGTACAATTTAAAATGGATAACCAACAAGGACAGCACATGGAACTCTGCTCAATATTATGTGGCAGCCAGGATGGGAGAGGAGTTTGGGGGAGAATGGATACATGTATATGTCTGAGTCCGTTCAATGTTCACCTGAAACTATCACAATGTTGTTAATAGGCTATACCACAATACAAAATAAAAGCTTTTTAAAAAAGAATGCCATGTACAGCAAAGGGACTATAAGCAATATTTTACAATAACTTTAAATGGAGTATAATCTATAAAAATATCAAATCACTAAGTTGTACACCTGAAACTAATAAGACACCATAAGTCAACTATACTTCTCCAACACTGTTAGTCTGAGCATCCCTTTGCCTCTCCTAGACTATTGTAGTCACTTTCTAATTGGTCTTTGGGCTCTACCCTTGCCCTTCCACACAGCAATCAAGCAGCAAGTGTTCAGTTTGTGCACATAGAGTCTGACCTGGGTGCAGATCTAACTCAACCGTGGGACAAGTCACTTAAACTTTGTTTCCCCATATCTCAACCAGGAGTGATAAAACTGATGTCAAGTCTGACTGAGCATTCAGTAGATGGTGTGTGTATCACAATTAGCTTGACTCCTGGTTCAAACGAGTGCTCCATCTCTATTCAGTTGATCAGTCATTTCCGACCCTGGAACCCCAGGCTTCCCTGTCCATCACCAACTCTCAGAGCTTGCTCAAACTTACATCCATAGAGTCAGTGCCATCCAACCATCTCATCCTCTGTTGTCCCCTTCTCCTCCTGCCTTCAATCTTTCCCAGCATCAGGGTCTTTTCAAATGAGTCAGCTCTTCGCATCAGGTGGCCAAAGTATTGGAGTTTCAGCTTCAGCATCAGTCCTTCCAATGAACACCCAGGACTGATCTCCTTTAGGATGGACTGGTTGGATCTCCTTGCAGTCCAAGGGACTCTCAAGAGTCTTCTCCAACACCACAGTTCAAAAGCATCAATTCTTCGGCGCTCAGCTTTCTTTATAGTCCAACTCTCACATCCATACATGACCACTGGAAAAACCATAGCCTTGACTAGACGGACCTTTGTTGGCAAAGTAATGTCTCTGCTTTTTAATATGCTGTCTAGGTTGGTCATAACTTTCCTTCCAAGGAGTAAGCGTCTTTTAATTTCATGGCTGCAATCACCATCTGCAGTGATTTTGGAGCCCAAAAAAATAAAGTCTGACACTGTTTCCACTGTTTCCCCATCTATTTCCCATGAAGTGATGGGACCAGATGCCATGATCTTAGTTTTCTGAATGTTGAGCTTTAAGCCAACTTTTTCACTCTCCTCTTTCACTTTCATCAAGAGGCTCTTTAGTTCTTCTTCACTTTCTGCCATAAGGGTGGTGTCATCTGCATATCTGAGGTTATTGATATTTCTCCCGGCAATCTTGATTCCAGCTTGTGCTTCTTCCAGCCCAGCGTTTCTCATGATGTACTCTGCATATAAGTTAAATAAGCAGGGTGACAATATACAGCCTTGACATACTCCTTTTCCTATTTGGAACCAGTCTGTTGTTCCATGTCCAGTTCTAACTGTTGCTTCCTGACCTGCATACAGGTTTCTCAAGAGGCAGGTCAGGTGGTCTGGTATTCCCATCTCTTTCAGAATTTCCCATAGTTTATTGTGATCCACACAGTCAAAGGCTTTGGCATAGTCAATAAAGCAGAAATAGATGTTTTTCTGGAGCTCTCTTGCTTTTTTGATGACCCAAGCGATGTTGGCAATTTGATCTCTGGTTCCTCTGCCTTTTCTAAATCCAGTTTGAACATCTGGAAGTTCACATACTGTTAAAGCCTGGCTTGGAGAATTTTGAGCATTACTTTGTTAGTGTGTGAGATGAGTGCAATTGTGCAGTACTTTAAATATTCTTTGGCATTGCCTTTTTTGGGGATTGGAATGAAAGCTGACCTTTTCCATCCTGTGGCCACTGCTGAGTTTTCCAAATTTGCTGTCATATTGAATGCAGCACTTTCACATCATTATCTTTTAGGATTCAAAATAGCTCTACTGGAATTTCCATCACCTCCACTAGCTTTGTTCATAGTGATGTTTCTTAAGGTCCACTTGACTTTTCATTCCAGGATGTCTGGCTCTAGGTGAGTGATCATACCATTGTGGTTATCTGCGTCATGAAGATCTTTTTTGTACAGTTCTTCTGTGGATTCTTGCCACCTCTTCTTAATATCTTCTGCTTCTGTTAGGTACATACCATTTCTGCCCTTTATTGTGCCCATCTTGCATGAAATGTTCTCTTGGTATCTCTAATTTTCTTGAACAGATCTCTAGTCTTTCCCATTCTATTGTTTTCCTCTATTTCTTTGCATTGATGACCAAGGAAGGCTTTCTTTTTTTTTTCAAGGAAGGCTTTCTTATCTCTCCTTGCTATTCTTTGGAACTCTACATTTAAATGGGTATACATTTCTTTTCTCCTTTGCCTTTTGCTTCTCTGCTTTCCTCAGCTAGTTGTAAGGCCTCCTCAGACAACCACTTTGCCTTTTTGCATTTCTTTTTCTTGGAGATGGTCTTGAGCCCTGCTTCCTGTGCAGTGTCACAAACCTCCATTCATAGTTCTTCAGGCAGTCTGTCTATCAGATCTAATCCCTTGAATCTGTTTGTCACTTCCACTGTATAATCATAAGGGATTTGATTTAGGTCATATCTGGATGGTTTAGTGGTTTTCCCTACTTTCTTCAATTTCAGTCTGAATTTGGCAGTAAGGAGTTCATGATCTGAGCCACAGTCAGCTCCCGGTCTTGTTTTTGCTGACTGTCTAGAGCTTCTCCATCTTTGGCTGCAAATAATATAATCAATCTGATTTCTGTATTGACCATCTGGTGATGTACACATGTGGAGTCTTCTCTTGTGTTGTTGGAAGAGGATGTTTGCTATGACCAGTGCATTCTCTTGGCAAAACTCTGTTAGCCTTTGCCCATAATTGTGAGCTATTGTCACAATGATACTCATATTCCCTCAAGGCCAGCTCTGCAAATTGGGCATCAGTTGTTGCTGATGCTGGTCAGGAAACCAGGCAATGCCTAATTCATTATATGCCAGTCCCTTGTTTCTTCCCCAGCCTATGGTGACCACTGAGCAACAATCCAGCTCCATCATTGACTTCTGTCACCCATCAGGGATGGCACCCATACTGTCACCTTGGAGCAAAATTTTGAAACATGATGTGAGATAGTGTTTGGACAGCTGTTTTCTACACTCACAATGAAACCACTTCTTGAAACACCTATTCCCCAGACCCAGAGGGGAGCCCTGACTTTTGCAGACTCCAACTCTGAAGCAAGATTTTGCTGTAACATCCTAGAAGCAGTCTTGGCCAAGAGAGAAGGTGGGTGTGGCTGGGGCAGAGCCGTTGCTCATGGTGTTTATGTCCTACTGTGGGATTTCCAAACTATGAAAATGAAACTCATCCCTTTGTAAAAACTAAAACCAAACATCACAGGCTGGGGAACACAGGCCCTCTGGTGAGGGATCCCCAACCAGGCCTCTATACTTACCTTATATCATCTTTTCTCACTCCATCTCCTTCCTGGGAGGCTGAAGGTTCAGACTGCAGAGCCTGAAAGATGTGAGTTCAAGTTTCAGCTCTGCCACTCACTGGCTGTTTGACCTGGGGCAACTCTGAACCCTCTTTGAACCTCGGTTTCTTCATCTATGAAATGAGAAATAATAGTAGGAGCTGTGTTGCAAAAATAATAAACATAATACTGAAAATGGGGAAGCAGCAGAGGACAGCAGTTAGGATGGGCTCTGGAGTTTGAATCCCGCTTCTTCTGCTCACTGACTGACCTTTGAACAAGTTACTTAATCTCTCTATTTGTCTCACCTGCAAAGGGGGGAACAGTTGTTCTTCCCTCAGTGACACACTGTTGGAACTAAAGGTGTTAACACAGGTAAAGAGTCTTGCACACACAAAAAAAAGAGTCTTGGACAGAGGCTGCCACTTAGAAAGTGCCCGCCCTTGCCTTTATTTCCACCCACTTTCTGTAGCCCTCAGGGAACTGACTAGTGAGGAGCTTGGGTGGAAGGGAGGTCCCAAGATAGGTATAACTCATCATTCCTTCCATAACAAACAGAATTCATTGCAGTCTTCCTTGTTTTTCAGAATGCTTTACAACCAGTCGTGAACTGACTCCTGAAAGAGAAGCAGCTGGGACCTGCCTAGGACAAGTCTTCCTGCAGAACTGCCAGGGAAGACAGACAGGCAGTCACAATTTCTGAAGGGACAATGAACTAACACAGACATATGGAAGTCTCCCACAATGGTGCCAGAATGTGTGATTCAGGGCCTCTCTGTGAGTTCCTGCTCTCCAGGACTCTTTTGAAGACAAAGTCCAGCAGGACAGAAAGGGATGTCTCATCAGATGGCATGCTGAAGGTGGTTCCCTGCCCAAAATGGTCACTGCCACATTGCAGGCACAAAGGTGAGCCAGTCAATGGGTCGCTGTCATCTGATACAGAAGATGTATGGACAGGACATGGGAGGATGCACAGACAGTACATGCCAGATGGTTTGTGGTACTGTACAAAGATGATAGGTTCTCCAGAACCCTGAGTCCTGGGACACTTGCTCTCTGGGGTTGCTCTGGGGCCTCAGAACAGAAGGGACCTGGGGCAGGATCACTCTTGTTTGGGTTAGGGTGACGCCAGTCCCCTCCTCCCTATGCTGTATGTTATTATCAGTGTCTTATCATTCAGACCTGGGTATAAATATGGCTGAGTAATCCTGAGGGCCAAGAGTATCCTGTGTAAGGTTTAATTTCCCCCATCTGTTGAATGGAGTTGATGGTGGGACGATGTCATAGGATTGTTAGAATTAAATGACTCACTCCATATACGTGCTAAGAACGATGCCAGGCACGCTTTTTTGCATTCAATAATTTGCTTTCAGTAAGTGGTTATTGCCATTGTGGTTGGAAATACTCTGTTTTTATTCTCCAAATTCCAGTGCACATCCAGCCTCTCAATTTCCTGACACAAAGCAGCATCCAACTCTCTACAAGTCTCACAAGAATTGAGGGACTGTCCAGAGAGACAAAGCAAGCTAAAAGTGAGGTCCAAGGAAATAATAACAAATGAAACAACTGACAAAGGATTAATTTCCAAAATATCCAAGCAGCTCATACAACTCAATGTCAGAAAAACAAACAGTCCAATCAAAAAGTGGGAAAAAGACCTAAACAGACATTTCTCCAAAGAAGACATATAGATGGCTAACAAGCACATGAAAAGATGCTCAACATCGCTCATGATTAGAGAAATGAAAATCAAAACCACAATGAGATATCACCTCACACCAGTCAGAACGGTCATCATCAAAAAGTCTACAAACAATAAATGCTGGAGACAGCGTGGAGAAAAGGGAAAGCTCTTGCACCATTTGTGGGAATGTAAGTTGATACGGCCACTATGAAAAACGGTTTGGAGATTCCTTAAAAAAACTAGGAATAAAACCACTATATGACCCAGCAATCCCACTCCTAGGTATATACCCTGAGGAAACCAAAATTGAAAAAGACATGTGTATCCCATTGTTCACTGCAGCACTATTACAATAGCTAGCAATGGAAGCAACCTAGATGTCCATCAACAGGTGAATGGATGAAGAATTTGTGTTACATATACACAATGGAATATTACTCGGCCATAAAAAGGAATGCATTTGAGTCAGTTCTGATGAGCTGGATGAACCTAGAACCTACTATAGAGTGAAGTGAGTCAGAAAGAGAAAGATAAATATCATATTCTAATGCACATATACAGTACCTAGAAAAATGGTACTGAAGAATTTATTTACAGGGCAGTGATGGAGAAACAGACATAGAGAATAGACTTATAGACATGGGGAGAGGGGAGGAGAGGGTGATATGTATAGAAAGAATAACATGTAAACGTACATTACCATATGTGAAATAGATAGCCATTGGGAATTTGCTGTATGGCTCAGAAAACTCAAACAGGGGTTCTGTATCAACCTAGAGGGGTGGGATGGGGAGGGAGGTGGGAGCAACGTTCAAAAGGGAGGGGATATATGTATACCTATGGCTGATTCACATTGAGATTTGACAGAAAACAACAAAATTCTGTAAAGCAATTATCCTTCAATAAAAAAATAAGTTTTAAAAAAAGTGCAATGATGTAAAGTAATTAGCCTCCAACTAATAAAAATAAATGGAAAAATTAAAAAAAATAAAATTAAAAAAAGTGAGGTCCAATCTATGTTTACAGGGAATAGATGAACAGATGCAGGGGAGGATTGGATTTGGTTATTCATGTATTCATTGATTCATTCATTCAATTATCCAACAACTATGTCCTGAGAGACTACTGTATGTCAGGCCCTGTTCTGGCTCCTGGGACCTGAAGAAAGGGTAAGAGGGTAATTTAACTCCCTCAAGTTAGTTCTATCAGTCTGCTGTGGTGCCCCCAAACTCCTCCATATACAGAGTCTGTAAGGCAGTAAAGGAAAGCAGCCTAGAAGCCAGAAGACCTGGTTCTTTCAGCAGTGTTTCTTCTGCCTGCTAGCCGTAGGATCTTGGGCAAAGCCCTTACCTTGTCAATTCCTTTAAATAGAAAATTAAGATGAAGACAATGATTTGGCCTCTGGTTTTCTACAGGGCTATTGGAAAAATCAAATAAGTAACACATGAGAACCTGCTTTTCAATATGGGAGCAATTTACATATGTGAGGAACTTATTATTTTTAGATTTGTAATAAAGACCTTCTTGACAAAAGGACCATATTTTGCAGAAACCTAGAGCTCTCGGGGGAAAATCAAGAGGGAAAAATTCAATGTCTGTGCGATTCTCAGTCACCCACCCTGGTCAATGTCACCCTGCCTTTAGGCCTAGGGGACCAAGAGTCCATTGGCCTCTTAAGCTCAGGGGAGCTACCATCGGCCCAGGTGCACCCTCACTCACACTCCCATCCCCTCTGAGCCCCCAGAGGAGGATCTGGCCTGTGGGCCTTTCTCCTGGAGGCACTGGCTCTTCACTAAGAACTAAAACCCCACCTGAGTTGGAATGTATGAAGCACCCAGGTCTAATCTCAGGTTTAATCCAAGGGGTATTAGCTGGCTATGTTTTTTCCTTTTGTTGGGAAGTTTAAATAATGAAACTTGATAAATGAAAAGAACTACAAAATGAAATCAGAAAAAAAAAAATACTGTAGTATCTCCTCCCAGGATGTTTCTGTTCTCTCTAGGAAATACCCCAAAATGTAGACTTTTCCTTTCTAACTCTGTATTCATCCTTACACACTGTCATTTCTGCCAAGTTAAGTTAGTCAAGATAGTCACCAAAGTCTGCCTGGGTTTGAAGGGAGAAAATACTGACCCTCCCGCGATCCCAACCCAACTTCAATGGAGATGTGTCACATTACAAAAATATTCCATCAAAGAGCTGCATGTACAGTGGGATATACATCGCTATGGCTATCTGGAAAATTCTACCTGCTGCACTAGCTTTTTAATGAAAGCAGAAAAGCTCTCACTAAAAACTAATGAATCAGGCTGAAAAATAAAATGCAAAGCGATGAATTATTTTTTTTTTCATTTATTTTTATTAGTTGGAGGCTAATTACTTTACAATATTGTAGTGGGTTTTGGCATACGTTGACATGAATCAGCCATGGAGTTACATGTATTCCCCATCCCGATCCCCCCTCCCACCTCCCTCTCCACCCGATTCCTCTGGGTCTTCCCAGTGCACCAGGCCCAAGCACTTGTCTCATGCATCCAACCTGGGCTGGTGATCTGTTTCACTCTAGATAATATACATGTTTCAATGCTGTTCTCTCAAAACATCCCACCCTCGCCTTCTCCCACAGAGTCCAAAAGTCTGTTCTGTACATCTGTGTCTCTTTTTCTGTTTTGCATATAGGGTTATCATTACCATCTTTCTAAATTCCATATATATGTGTTAGTAAAAGCAATGAATTATTACAGGCATTACTATTGCAAGAAAACAGCATGCTTACCAAAGCATCCCCCTGGAACATATTTTGACAATAATGACACCAGTGATGTTTCTCAACCTGTAAAGTGTCTCCGTACCATGACCTCCTTTAATTCAGCAATGCTGCCAAGCAGGGGCATCCACTTTCCAGCGGGGGAAACTGAGGTTCCCAGCAGTAGGTGCCCTGCCCTGTGTCACACACTGGTTACTGACAGTATTAGTTTGAACCCAGGGCTTCTGACTTCAACTGGGGTGTCCTTTCCACATCTGACCAGCAACTAGATTGAGTGATATTTAGCTCCCATTTGAGAGAGCACAAAAGCCCTCTGAAATTTTCAGTCTAGTAATCAAGTTCTAGATGTGACTTTGCCACAGTTTGAATTGGAGCAAATCACTTTTCTCTCTGAGATTCAGTCTCTGCATCTACATATAAAGAGGATTCCACTGGAGGAGTTTAAACTTAAAAAAATTTTTTAAGCAACCACACCCTTTCCCCAAGTGAAACCTTACCAAGATTCCCATTCCATGAAACATCTATTCAAAAACAAAGCTGCTTTACCCAACAGAGCTAAGCATGCAGCCACACTATGCTTCATTCATGAATATACACTCGACACGATTGCATTCATCTGTCCACCACAAAGATCAAACCAGTCAATCCTAAAGGAAATCAACCCTGAATATTCATTGGAAGGACTGATGCTGAAGCTGAAGCTCCACTACTTTGGCCACCTGAAGTGAAGAGCTGGTTCATTGGAAAGACCCTGATGTTGGGAAAGACTGAGGGCAAGAGGAGAAGGGGACAACAGAGGATGAGATGACTGGATGGCATCATCAACTCAATGGACATGGGTCTGAGCAAAGTCTGGGAGACAGTGAAGGACAGGAAAGCCTGGCATGCTGCAGTCCATGGGGTCACAAAGAGCTGGACACAACTGAACAACCAGAGTCCATCACAAGACTTGTGCTGAATGTTCATGGCAGCTATGTTCATAATACCAAAACCTGAAAACAACCCAAAGGTTCATGAAGAATGAAAAAGATCAATAAATTGTGGTGTAGCCACACAACAGAATTCCACCTAGCCATGAAAAAGGACCGGCTACTGCTGCCTGCAAACATATGGATAAATCTCTCAGATATAATTTTGAGGGAAAGAGCCAGACATGAAAGAGTATAAACTTTGTAATTTCATTTATATAAAGGCTCAAAATGGGCAAAATCAGAATGGTGGTTACCTGTGAGGAGGATGTTGTTGCTCTGACTAGGAAGGACAGCATAAAGCCTATCCAGGGGTACAAAAAGTGTTCTTTACCTTGATCTGAGGAGTGGCTACACAGACGTATACATATTTAAAAACTCATCAAGCTTTATCATTGAAATTCCTATACCTTATGTCATGTAAGTTGTACCTCAAAAAAAAAGGTGAAAAAGTGGAGTTCCTATGGCTGAAGTAAGAAAGAGGGTTTTGAAGATCCATTAGCTAAGGCTAAAGCCCCATTACCCCATTACTTCCATCCACCCACCCCCTGGGGGGCCCTAAGGGACCACAGGGCACAGTGTTAAAGACCACCGGACTCGACCATCTCTAAGGAACGAGCAGATCCAACATATTCACTTTGAGAATTCAGCTTTAGTTACTTCACCTCAACATCACCTTACAGGTAACAGCTGCTTCAAACACCCAACTTTTCATTTGATGTTCTCACCCTTGTTCTCACCACCTTCTTCCCCATCCTGCAATGCCCAAAGTCCATGTGCTGCTCCCAGGACCAAAGCTCCCTGTTCACCCTCCCTAAGCATCACTACTTCCTTCCAACTTCCCAAGAAGGTCCATGCAAGCTTTCCTCCTGGTGGTGAGCATAAGCTCTCAGGTCCATCCACTGAGGCTCAAGTCCTGGCTCCTCAACTTGCAGCTGGATATGCTGCTTCTTTGTGCACTGAGGTTGTCAATCGTACAGACTTCACTGAATTGTTAGGAAAATGAATGAATGAAGATAATACATGGAGAAGACATAGTACAGTGTCTAATCCATCCTGGGTGCTCAGTAAGTGTTAGCTATTGTTCTGATCATCATCTGTTTTTCAGTTCTGTCTGTGGTTGCTCATGGCCAGAGAATATATAGCTTTTAAAAACCAAAATAATCTTGTAAAATGCTTACCACATGCTTTGTTGAACTTCATCCTCACATCCTAGCCTTCTTCTGAGCAGACTGAGGTTAAGTTTCCAGAGTCACACAGCTGATCAATCAGTGATGGAATCAAGACTCTAGCCCAAACTCTCCTGACCCCAAAGCCCATCACAGTATGAGCTCTTGGCTACTTCTTTAGTGCTCCACATAACAGAATTGACAGAGAAGGAACCCAGTCCTAAGAGAGTGTATACTGGAGCCACCAGTGTGATAGAGTTTGGAATCAAACAAATCCAGATTCTAATCCTGGGTTGTGTGGTTTACTAGTTGTGCAAACTTGCACTAATTATTTAGTTTCTCCCTCAATGAGCTCATCTGTAAACTGAGACACAATAGTGAAATGCATTAAAGGAGCTTCCTAATTGTAGCCAAAAGGAAAGAAAAGTTAACCCCGGGGATTTCCAGCATCATGGGATGCTGAGGAGTGATTTGGGGAAGGGACCTTATACTTTACCCATGTTTGTTCACTTCAGAACAGAACCCCTTATCCAGGGACAGCCCCCTCTAAGATTAGGGAGTTTTTTAAAGATCAAATGATACTGAAGTACAAAATGTTAAATTTGTCTGTGGTTCTGGTCTCTCTTCCCTTGTTGTCAGTTTTAAAAAACAGTTGCTAAAAACTAACCTCCCTTCTCAGCCTATCTTCCTCTTCTTGTTTCTAACTCAAAGACTATATTAGAATTCAAGGCGGTTTTAGTTTTCAAATAGCCCATCTTTCAAATTCTCTGTTTCTTATCAGTCATGATATTACTTTCTCTCCCTACCTCATTCTGGACAGCTATGCCTTAAGTGAGAAGAATTACGGTTATATCCTAGACCTCGTAAATTTGGACTCCCAGGTTGCTCTGAGAAGCAAGTGGTTGGAACAGTGACTCAAAGTCAGAAGGGAAGGATTTGGCAATAAATGTGGGTTTAAAAGGTCTGATATCCATACACACTCACTTCATAAACTTTCACCACCCCCAAGAGGACATTGGGTCAGTCATGCTCTCTATCTCACCTCCACACACATTACTGAGGCTGCAATTCCTTCTGTTGACAGGCCCCTCTTCTTTCCCCTACAGCATTGCCTCTGATGCCAATAAATCAAGATTGAACCTCTCCAGGCCTGAAAGAACATCATCATGTGAAGTGAGCATATTCAAGCAACTGGGGACAGTCCAGTCTACCTGGAAGGGCAATTTGGCCATCAGAATTGAGTCTTTAAAAAGTTGATACTCAGTGTCTCAAATTACACTCGGTTTATTAAGAAGTCCCAGTTTGCAGGGTATCAAACACAAATTTATCTCCAATTGTGTACTCTCAAATCCTCTTTAACAATGCTTAACATCATTTTGGTCCAATTTTATTTAATTCTAGTTATCATAGATTATTCAGTCCCATTCTGCTTCCACAGAACTCTGTAGAATTGGATGTTTTTGCTGATCACAGAGTTATAACGATCAAATGTCAGTGAGAAGTAAACCTCCCAAAGGATCTAGAAACCTGGAAAAAGAAAACAGGAAGGTTAGAACGGGAGGCTAAGAAGTGACAAGGATTTCCAAAAGGAGTTCAGTTAGTGTTATCATCCTGGTGAGAAGCAGTCCTGACAGCAGAAGGTAGGCAGGCACTGGTTAGGGACACTCTTCCTGACCTGGGGTATGAATCCCAACTATGCCATTTGGATAAGTTAGTTTCCCTTGGACGCAGTTTCCACATTTGGGATGCTGTGGGAATTATAGAGGCATCACAACTGCAGTGTCTGGTACACTGAGGGCTTTCAACACATATTAGCCACCATTACTATTTGTGCCCTAAAATTTCTGAATAATTAATTGTGACTGTGAACTCCTGAATGAATCTGTATATTGCAATTTACACAGATAGAGTGCTTTATGGTCTAAAAGCACATCTTTGCAATACAAACTGAAATGTGTCACCACCTATCTCATGTCAAATTGGAAAATAATACTGCCCAGTGTTAGTGACAGTGTGGGGAAATAGACATGGCTTTGCTGTTGATGGGAATGTAACTGAGAAGAGCTATTTGACAATATGTATCAGCTCCCTTGAACATCCACACTGGGACCAAGCAGGATGAGGAGAAAAGTAATTTGGTGGCAAAGAGTTGAGCAGAGATGGGAGTAGGATGTCTGCTAGAGGCAAAATGCAGATTCTAGGATGAATCCATGGAATTCACAGATCTTTAAAGAGTCCCAGACATTCCAAGGAGGAGATGTAAAATGTGTGGTCCAGCAAATCAAGTCTCACAGGATTGTTGCTTGGATGTTAGGAAAAATGCTAATCTCTTAAGACTGTAAACATACAAAAAATACATCTCTAGCTGCCAATTGCATGTCCCCACCCAGAGATCTCACAGTCATCTTTGCTTCAGCACACCCAGGTTGAACCAACTGACTGACCACACTCCCCACCCAAAACTATTTGTCTTCCAGCAGTCCAGTCTCAACAAGCAACATAAAAGCTACCACAACTTGCTGGTTGTTCCAGCCCCAATCTGAGGGGTCATCCCTGATTTCCATTTTCCCTTCACCAATAAAGCACCTCCCCAAGCCCTTACATCCAATCATTCAACGGATCCTGTTTCTTCTTCTTCCAAAATATATCCCAAATCCAGTGACTTCTCTCAATCTCCTCTGCTACCATTTGATCTAGACCACCATTATTTCCCACCTGGACAAGCCTTGTTGATTATCTTACTTCTACTCTTAATCCCTCTAAGTCATTCTCCAGTCTGAATGTTCTTTTAAAAAGATAAACCAGATTGAGCCACTGAATCAACCAGATGAAAACTCATCAATTTCATGTGTCAATCTCTTCATCTTTGTCTACCATCCATCCCTTCACCCACTACCCTGCAGACACACAGACCTACTTTCTGTTCCGTGAACCCCACACACTCATGACCTTTCCCCTTTGCTCTTCCCTTGGCTTAGAAGACTCCATTGTTAGCTCTTCTCAACCTTCAGATCTTTCCTCAAAGAAGTCTTCCCTTGATAGACCACCCAAAAGAGCCCCTCTAGTCACTATCACAATACCTGTTCAATTTCATTCACAGCAGTAATCTCCAGCTGAAATTCTTTTATTTGTTGACTTGTACACTGCTTGTGTTCCCTACCACCTCATACCTCTAGAATGTGAGCTCCGCGAAGGTAGAAGTCTGCTTATCTCATTCACTGTTTATCCTCAGCATCCAGGGCATGGAACATACTCAATAATTAGTGGGAACAAATTAGTGAATAAATATAAAATCTGGGTCAAAAAAGGTCGTGGTGCCTCCCCCTCCAGGGTCCTCTGGCCATTGATGACTTAAAGGTTGGTGGCAGGAGAAGAGGGCAGAGAAGTGGGAGAAGAACAGGCCACCAGTTCTGATGGAGAGACAAAGATGAATGCTTCTTGTTTAACCAAGGGGGAAGCCACCAGAGAGCTCAAGGTTTGGTCCAGGCTTGCACAGCAAGTTGACGGCAGGAGGAGAAGCTAGTTTCTGCACCCTGGCACTTGTCCAGGTGATTGCTCCAGATGTGTCTTGTCACTATCTCTGCTGGGCTATTTCACAATGGTGTAAAGTGGATGAGAAGTAACTCCATCCCAGAGGAAATTCTCTTGGGACATTTGGTCATGAGGTATGTAGGAAGCTGATTAATGAATAAGCATTCAGATGATGAAATGCTAAAACATCGCTGCCTGGTATGCAGCACAACAGAGATCCCTTAACTTAGTATTGGAGCCACACCACTCTTTAGCCTCTTTCCAGATCTGAAGGCTCTTTTGACCTCAATTTCTGCAAAAATGGGAAATACAGTGAGAAGCAAATAATAATCAGCAAAGTCCCTTTCAGCCCTGATATATCTATATCTATAGATAGAGATAGAGATAGAGATAGAGATAGAGATAGAGACAGAGATAGAGATAGAGATAGACAGATAGATATAGATATAGATAGGCTGTGCTGGGCCTTTGTTGCTACATGAGGGCTTTCTCTGGTTACAGAGAGCAGGGGCTACTCTCTAGCTGCAACACATGGGCGTCTCACTGTAGTGGCTTCTCTCGTTGTGCAGCACAGGCTCTAGAGCATGCTGGCTACAGTAGCCTTGGCACGTGGGCTCCGTAGCTGTGATGCATGGGCTTAGTTGCTCTGCAGCATGTGAGATCTTCCTGGACCCACATCCCCTGCATTGGCAGGCATATTCTTAACCTCTGGACCACCAGAGAACCCCAAACCCTGATATTTTAGAATGCTTCTCTTAGATATGAGTTCCTTCCCTAAGCCAAATCTATGTACTTATCCTTCCTATCCCCTACTTACATACATGTGCATGCTAAGTCCCTTCAGTCATATCCAACTCTTTGTGATCCGATGGACTGTAACCTGTCAGGCTCTTCTGTCCATGGGATTCTTCTGGTAAGAATACTGGAGTGGGTTGCCATGCCCTCCTCCAGGGGATCTTCCCAACCCAGGGATCAAACCGATGTCTCTTATACCTCCTGCATTGGCAGGTAGGTTCTTTACCACGAGCGCCATCTGGGAAGCCCCACCTACACATAAACCTAAAAATACTTGTTTTTGTTTGCACTGCCCCTCTATTAATAATTCTGTCATGTCCTCTCTGCTCTCTGAAATACTGCGTAAGCCTCAATGATCAATGGAATTTCTATTCCCACTCTTCTTCCTTATTTGTCTCAACTGAAAATATTATCCTTTTACAAACAAGTCGGCATTTATTTGCTAATCCAGGAGTTGGTAAACAGCAGCCTGCAGACCAAATCAAGGTCAAATCTGTTTGTTTTATAAATAAAGTTTTATTGGAACACAGCCATGCAATTCATTTGCATGTTGTTTATGGCTGCTCCTGCTACACTATAAGATTGAGTAGTTGTAACAGAAATAGTTACAACTGGATTTAGAAAAAGCAGAGGAACAAGAGATCATATTGCCAACATTGGTTCGATCATAGAAAAAGCAAGAGAATTCCAGAAAAACATCTACTTCTGCTTTATTAACTATGCTATAGCCTTTGACTGTGTGAATCACAACAAACTGGAAAATTCTTAAAGAGATGGGAATACCAGACCACCTTACCTTTCTCCTGAGAAACCTGTATGCAGGTAAGAAGCAACAGTTAGAAGCAATAGTTAAAACCAGACATGGAACAACAGACTGGTTCCAAATTGGGAAAGGAGTATGTCAAGGCCATGTATTGTTACTTTGCTCATTTAATTTCTATGCAAAGTACATTATGGATGAAGCACAATCTGGAATCAAAATTGCTGGGACAAATATCAATAATCTCAGATATGAAGATGACATCACCCTTATGACAGAAAGTGAGGAGGAACTAAAGAACCTCTTGATGAAAGTGAAAGAGGAGAGTGAAAAAGCTGGCTTAAAACTCAACATTCAACAAACTAAAATTATGACATCCAGTCCCGTCACTTCATGGCAGATAGATGGGGAAACAATGGAAACAGTGACTGACTTTATTTTCTTAGGCTCTAAGATCATTGCAGATGTTAACTGCAGCCAGGAAATTAAAAGACGCTTACCCCCTGGAAGAAAAGCTATGACCAACCTAGACAGCATATTAAAAAGCAGAGACATTACTTTGCCAACAAAGTCCCATCTAGTCAAAGCTACGGTTTTTCCAGTAGTCATGTATGGATGTGAAATTTGGACCATAAAGAAAGCTGAGTGCTGAAGAATTGATTCTTTTGAACTGCAATGTTGGAGAAGACTCTTGAGAGTCCCTTGGACTGCAAGGAGATTAAACCAGTCCATCCTAAAGGTAATCAGTCCTGAATATTCATTGGAAGGACTGATGCTGAAGCTCAAGCTCAAACTCTTAACACTTTGGTCACATGATGCAAAGAACTGACTCATTGGAAAAGACCCTGATGCTGGGAAAAATTGAAAGCAGAAGGGGGACAACAGAGGATGAAATGGTTGGATGCCATCACCGACTCGATGGACGTAACTTTGAACAAGCTCCAGGAGCTGGTAATGGACAGGGAAGCCTGGCAAGCTTGAGTCCATGGGGTCGCAAAGAGTTGGACATGACTGAGTGACTGAACTGAACGGTACTGGAGTGGGTAGCCTATCCCTTCTCCAGCAGATCTTCCCAACCCAGGAATCGAACTGGGGTCTCCTGCATTGCAGGCAGATTCTTTACCAGGGAAGCCCTGAACTGAACGGAAACAGTATGGCCCACAAAGCCTGAATGTTTGCTTCCTGGCCCTTTACAAAGACAAGTTTGCCAACTCCCGGCTAATCTGTGCTTCTCAAACTTGAGTACACAAAGATCCAGGATGGGCTCTACACATAAAACATCCAACAAAGTCACTGGGTCAGCACAGGGTGTCTTCTTGAAGCACAGATTTTACTGGAAGACTGGGGAGAAAAAATGGGTAGTAGAATGTAAATGTAGACATTAAAGCAAAACATATTTATATTGAGAAGTGGATTCCAGCATATGCATGAAATATTATGT